AATAAATATAATAATAAATATAATAAATATAATAATAAATATAATAAATATAATAATAAATATAATAAATATAATAAATATAATAAAAAATTTAATAAAATATTATAACATCAATTTGAACACTTACAAGAATGGCTAATAGCGCGTCTCGTTTTATAGAGAATGGAATATTTTTTATAACAATTGCGGTCGGGATAGTTTCTTGAGTTCCTGTGCTTTGTTCACTATCACTTTGAGCCTGTGCACTAGATTTTTCATACCAGAGCTAAAATTTCCGTAAAAATTTCAGATATAAAAACATTTGGTTTAAAAAAATAAGATAAATGAGATCCACCAAGATTAATAAAGATTAATAGTGAAAAATTTTAACTATGACAAGTTAAATTTGACAAAAAAAAACTTCACCTTTGATCGTCGTTTTTCTTTTCTTCTCTGACTGTCTGTTGATAATGGTTTTTTTTTCAGAGAGTTTGACCTTGAAGGAGTATGATCAGAGTCAACCGAATGATCCTCAAATGTGTCATCAAAGGAAAGCTCAATGTCATCACCCATTGTGTTCTTCATTTTTAATATATGTTTTTTTTTTTTCACAATAATAATTATAATAGCTTGAGATATAAAAAGGTAGATATATTAAATTTAATAAAGTTACAAAAATATTTACGTTTAACTTTCTAAGTAAGAGATATGTAGATGAAAAAAAGAAGAGGGTAAGAAAAAAAAAAAAAAAAACTAGTTTAATTAAAATTTTGCGTTTTAATTACTTTCTAAAATAATCTAGATTGTGTGAAACGATGGTCTTTTGGTCTTAAGGAATAGTTTTAAAATGGAATGCTAATTTATGAATAAAATAAAAACAAGGGAAAAGGTATTGAGGTATAAAAAAAATCAAAAAAAAATAGACGAGAAGTCGTAAGACCAGTGCAAAGCGGAAACAAGAGCGTGAAGTGTCAAAACGTTACCACTTCACCCCTGAACAGCACGTCAACTTCGCAACGAGAAAAAAAAAAAAAGAAAAAAGGGCAACTTTTTATGCAAGTTGAAACAACCATCAACTCCAATACAGCGACTCCAACAATTTTGATTCAAAAAAAAATGAATGACGTCATAAAAAAACTACTCCCCTTAATTATTATAATGATTATTATTATTTTAATAATATCATTTGACTTTCCCAAAAGAAATAACCAACGGGGACTTGCATTTTTGATAAATATAAATTTACCTGAGAAAATTAAACCAAATTCGGAGATACAATTATGATAAAAAGTATAATCAAATGTTTCAATAGAATTGTCTTTGCAACTTTGGACGATGCGCCTCAAAAAATTTTTTTTTCTTTTAGATATACCAATGATGAATGATGAATCAAGTAGAATTAAAAAATGTAAAAAATGTAAAAAATGTATAAATGTAGTCAAATATATTATATTTGTTAAATTGTTTACATAAAATGCATGTAAATCATGCGGCTCGCAGTTCGTTGAATTAACGAAGAGGATAACGGTGAATGCGGCCCAAATTTATAACAAAGATTATTAAAGTGGTGTGGAAACGTCACGTCTTGAGTGGGATCACTTTTTCTATTAATTAATTAAGTATCACATTACACACATCTATCATTGTCTACCTGCAGAATTCTACATTACAATTTTTCTTGGACGAAGATCTTTCCCTAAATCACCAACACGCGCCACTTTGATCAACGATCAGTTGTGAAAAGTTATATTTGGATAAAATCGATGATTGATTGTCACGCGATATTAGATTTTATTTCAATTTCAAATTTGTAATATTTTAAAAAAATAATAATTTCAAATTTTCAAATTCTAAAAATGTCTCAAGCCACAAAAAATCCCCTAGATCCTGAAACGGTCTTGTCAACGCTTGAAAATATTTTACAAACTAATGTTAAAAATATTGATTTGGAATCTTCTGCAGATACAGTACTACTTAGATCTGGTCAAGATGCATTGGCTGCCTTATTTCACTCAATTATGTTAAATTTGGGTTTCCGATTAATTGGACTTGATGAAGACGACACTTTTGGTGTTTATTAATTTATTAGTTATTAGTTATTATTATTATTTATTTTATTTTTTTGCTTTTTACAATATTCTAATTAAGGAAACTACGGGAAAAATAGGAGATAATATAAATAGGGACTCTGAAGGCAACATTCTTGGATTACCAGAAAATTGGAATTTACATGAACCAAATTCATATTCTTTTCGTTATAAGCACCCTCAATCATCATTTACATTTTTGGTCAAATGCATTCGTTTGGCAAACAAATTTTTGATTCATGGAATGGGTATTGAGGTAGATCTAATTGAAAATTCATTTATAATAGTTATAATTTAATATTTAGTTAATTTAGTTATAATTCAATGTGTTACAACTTAAATTTCATGTTAGGATAATAAAACAGAAACTTTCGAATTGATTTCGGACAATTACTTTTCCCCATCGGCGTTTCCCTATACTGTTGGAAAATTGCATTCCGAACCACTCGTGAATGTTTATATATCGAAAAATCTTGTCAAAGACTTAATTAGTCTTTATAAAATCAATATAGTTCAGAAATTGATTCCAAATTTAAATAAACCAGGATATGAAGAAACGAGTTCAAAGTATACATTATACATTATACATTAAGATTTACTATCAATTTTTATTCAATTTACATTTAATATTGATTTTATGTCGATTATGAAAATTATGAAAATTATGCAAATTATGCAAATTATACAATTTTATAGTCGCACGATCAATACTCCAAATGATTATAGGCAACCACATATTAATGATCCATTACGTGTTCCTCCACGATTCCGACCACCGATTTTTGAAGATCCTTATGGTGGCGATGAACCATTAAAGTAGTAGAAATTATTTATATTTGATATATAGTATAATATAGTATAAGTAATTATATCTTTCTAATCACGTTTTCCATTCATTTTTTTAGCATTAATCCTTTAAGTGTTGGACGAGATGATTTAAATCCACTTGGTGTTAATCCTATGGGAATACCAAGGTTTGAGTAATTTGTTAAATACATATGTCAAAAAAAAAAAAACACAACATAAATAAATATATATATATAATTTGAAATAGATTTGGTGGTAGCGATATACCATCTTTTGGAAGACCTAATAGAGGTGGTGGAATGCTCATGGGACCAGATCATCCAATATTTGATAGACGAGGCAATAGTCATGATAATAATGACATTTATGGTGGACCACAGACTTTACCTAGGTTTTGATCAACTAATTTTTTCCTTGATCTTTTATGTGATTTTACGTGATTCTGATCAATTACATTTGTGATAAATAATTTTTTTAATAATAAAATAAAATAAAATTAGAGGAGCCGTTCCACCCGGAGCAAGATTTGATCCTATTGGACCATTTTCATCACAACCACAACCACGCCGTGGTTCCCGTCGTGGGGGCAGAGGATACATTGGGTAAATTTTATTATAAATTTATCAACCCAGATATTAACATAATGTCAACATAATTTCATCACAATAATTCATACATTTAAATTAATTAGGGATGAACCGGACAATGATGAACTTCCACCACCACCAGTAAACTTTATTTATTAGATCTTTTATTATATTTATTGATTTAATTTTTATAAATTATTAATATATTATTATTTAATTATATTTAATAGGGTTATACCGATATGTTCATGTGAAAGGAATGTAAATAATACATTATGGAATATTTATAATATAATTCAGTTAATAATTAAATTTGGGATAGTCATAATTTATTTTATTTACATGAGTTACTTTTTGATTTGTTCCAAATTCCCTTTAACATCATCTAATTCTTTATTTATTTTTTCCAATTTGTTTTTGTATATAATTATTTGTTCTTGAACCTTTTTGGAAGCTTCGTCAATTTTACGAAGTTCATCCTGTTCTGCCTGTAAACCTATAAATAAATAAATATATATATATATATAAAATAAAATAAATATATAAAATATATATAATAATAATAAAAATATAATAAGAATAATAATAATAATAATATATAATACAAACTGTATTGCATATTTGGTGAAGTTCTAAGTGGAAGAGTCGGTATTGGATGTTGCATCAAAATTTGATATAATGCTTCTGATGGATCAGTGAATACCTATTTTATTATTTTAATTATTTATTAATTTATATTAATTATATTCTTAAAAATTATTATTATTAAATATTCTAAAATTAAATTAAAATTTATTCTTACTAATTCATCATATTGAAAACTTTGAACTGGTTTATTTTTGTTTACAGTTGAAATTGATCCATCCTCTTCATAAGGGTGAAGACGAAGATTATGATATAATGTTACATGTTTTTCACTAGGTTCAACAAATTGAAGTTTTATCGAAAGTTCAAATTCTCCCCAACCAGTTTCCGTGATCTCAAACGGTTGTTGTTCAACTACTATATAAAATTAATTCTTTATTGAAAAACAACGAACACTTGAATAATTATATTCAAAATATAAGATGCAACTAATAGATACCTCTTACCGGATTTGAATAAGTTTCATGTAATTTAAAAGTAACTTTTTTTACAAAATGACTTATATCTGCTCCATTAAGTCCTTTCACTGAAACAGTCCATCTATGTGTGTGATCCGAATCTGGAATTTTTTTTTGTGGTAGGACATTTGCAACATTTCCATAAACTATAGGGTAAACTACGGTTACTCCCTAATGTAAAATATTTGAATTTAATTAATTGAAATAATGTGCTTGGGAATTTTTCATAACAAGAATCGCATACTTTAGTTCTCTTTGATGACATTTTATAAAAATAATAAATTGAAATGGGTGATCTATAAATAAACAATTATAGACTTATCAAAAATAACCACTTTTTTTCACGCGTATCTTGATATATCAAAAAAAAAGTGACCTGTGATATATATATATAGAGCGTCCTTATTCTGGACCCCTGGTTCAGGGTGAAATTTATGAACCCCCGGGGTTCAGACAAATTATTCTAGACCCCATCCTTTTTAGTAATAAAAATTTCCAAAATTAGGGTCTAAGATTTGATTGGAAAATTTCGCGAAATAATTATCATTTTTTTAAAGTCATTTTTTATTTTTTCAAAACTCCAAGCAATATATATTAATATACCATAATATTTTTTTTTGTTCCAATTGCATTATTATTTAGCACTATTATTTATTACCCTCTTATTTTTATACACAAACTTTATTTATAACCCTTTTATTAAATATTTATATATTTATTTACAATTACAATCGTATATTAAATTAATTTAACCCTATATATTATAATTTTATT